TTATGATTTTTTCCCTGTACGACAGTGCTACAAATGTCTTGCTTTTGGACATTTGGCGGCAAGTTGCCCATCACCGAAGAAAGTTTGTAGCCATTGTGGTGATGATCATTTGTTTAAGACATGTACAAAGAAAAGTGAAAAGCCTAAATGTGCTAATTGTTTGAGGAGTGGCCTAGATAAACATGAACATAACACACTGGATAAGGAGTGTCCACTCTACATTAAAGCAAAAGCCTTATATATTAAGACAGCTGACTACTTACCTTAATAATTATGGAATCCTTTACAGGGCACAAATTGTTTAATTCATAGTGCTACCTCTGCTTCTTAGCACAACAACTAATACAAGCAGATCATCGCTTCTCTATATATATTTGTGTTTGCTGACTGTAAGAAATATGTAAGCTTCATCATCTTTCTCTGTTTTTGGGTTTAAAGTGTTGGAATTGATACTTACAGTTAGTAGCTGTGTGAACTTTGTTTTTTTTTTTTACTTGCACGCTTATGTATATGGACTCATGGGATTCTCAAATCTTTGTCTTACAAATTTTCTGCACTGGATAAATTCTGTTAAACACTTTGTCAGAATTATTGTTTACTGCAACCTTCTTTTGCGAATATATTCCTGCAGATAAGTAGTCTGTTATTTGCTGCAGCAAGCTGCTGCATATTTTGTTTGGGTCTTTTATTGCCTTTGTGTTTTTATTTATTTATTTTTTTTTATTATTTTTTATTTTTTTATTATTTTTCTTTTTTATGTTTCTTTTTACTTTGCTTTGTTCATTAGTGCATACTGTAACTCGGTGGAACTATGTAACGGATATGTTCCTGTAATGCTCACTGCGGGGCAGGACTTTGTACCTTGTTTTAAATGTACAATTAAACTAATGAATGAATGAATGTATTCTCTCTGTGCTTTTGATTATTAATTAAATTACAATGTTCTTTGATCCTCTAAGATAAGGACTCACACATGGACTCAACATAATATAAATTATCTGAATCTTTGGTTAGTTTTATCATGTGTCTACATGATTACGGTACACTTGCTTTTACAAATGAATTACAGACAATATGTAAGTAATTAACTCTTTATAAATATATCACTGTTTCTTATTTAATTCCAAACTTATTAGCATTTTATATTTTTCAAAATTAAATTTATTATGTAATAAACAAACCCAAAAACTAAAATTGTAATTCTCACTTACCATGATTCTGAATTCTCCATGTTTTTACAAATTTTGTGTTAGGAGGAATTGCTTCACCTTCTCCAATAGTTACATCTTTAACAAATGACATAGAAGGNGTATTCCCAACCCCTCTTCAGTGCTGTTAAAATTACAAAAAACAAGGTGAGTTTCACGATATTGGTAAGTAGGACGTAACAAAAATGAGGGGTGACAATAACATAAAAACTTACATGTTATATAATGGTACATCATAGACTTGTGTGACAATATTTTTATTACATAGTTGTATGACTATTTTCTATAATATGAAAAAAGTAAAGGGCGTGGCTGTTTAACACATCATTTATATAAAAAATATATAACATAGATTATTAATTTCAAAATATCTATAAACACTTACATTTTTAGTTAATATGTATTATTCCCAATAAAAAATGAAGCAGAATAAAAATTGACAACCGGTGTTATCCAGTGTTCACAGAGTAACAGTATAACGACAAGTAATGTTATTTAAACCATTCCTAACATTCCGTACAAGGGGATGTGCTTTTAAACAATCTTTAACGCCTGGAGGCGCTCTCTATTAGTTTATACCGTTGGGGGTCTATTAACATTCTTTCTAAAATATTAATTAAGTTATCTTTAGGGTGCTTTTTGATTTCTATATGTTCTTTAAATTTCCTTTTATATGGGTCTTTTTCTAAATATAACACTTTTATATTATTTTTATTAATTTGGCAATTATTGTCACTTGTGTGGTAGTACCAGGGGAAGTGTTATGTTTTAGGCGAATGGCAGCTTCATGTTCTTTAATTCTTGTTTCTAGTAACCGGCCTGTTTCGCCCATGTAAATTTTCAGATTTTGACAGTTGCATTCAAGTTTGTAAACAGTTCCTACAGTTTTAAGAATGCTTAGTTTGTTGTTATGTTGTTTATTAATGTCATAATGGATACTATGAGATATTTTGTTGGTCAAAGACGGTGCCAAACTGATATTGTCTTTTTTTAGGATCTTATTACAGCCCTCAAAAATGTTTTTTATATATGGGAAGGTTTTGTATTTTTTGCTTAATTTATATTTCGTATTAAATCTATTTTCCCAGTATTGTTTTTGCCATGTGTTTAATTTCGATTTAGGATAGTCGTTAAGTAAAAATTTAGTTTCTAACTCCTTTATTTTAATTTTTTTGCCATTTATTATCTGATATTCTTATATATATGTTTTTTAACTCCATGATTTGTGGAAAAGAAACTCATGTGCCTTCTAAAAGTCGGGTTTCGATTACATCTTTAAGTTTAATTGTGGATTTTTATGTGTTGTGTGTTTGATAAATGTTTCCTTTGTTTATTAATAAAGCTCTTATATATATGTTTTTTNTGAAGAAGTTCATTCTACTACTAAGAAGTGAATGTAATACATACATATACATATATATATATATATATATATATGTATGTATGTATTACATTCACTTAATTATTGCAACAATGATATAGAGCAAAATATACATGCTTTATCATTACTGAAACAGGTAGCATATAACACTTGCCACTCAAATTTTTTCATTTCTTAACAGTACTTTCTTAATTCTAATAAGTACCCTCCAGTGGCTGAGTGGATAAAACTATCGAAAGTAGTAATTAGTTTATTGCGAGTTTGAATTGGCCACATGGAGTTTTCTGGAGTTTTTACAAATTTTTCTTTTCTTCACATTAATAATACCTAAATAGGGTCAGCTTCCCATAAAAGTCTTCCTGAAATGCATTCCCCTCAGCAGATCACTCATGTCGTGTTGTCATAACCAAATAAACTAGGCTAATTCTAACGAATGATTATTTATTGTGAGAATGTCACAATGCCAAACTGCAATTTTTCATTACAATATTCTCAATTCTTTTAGTGGTGGTCTTGCCTCTGTACATCATACTTTTCCTAGTAGCAATAGTAGTGCTAGTCATCTATCTAACTTTGTTCAGGGAAAAATTTTGAATTGCAGTAACATGACTTTCAGTCCAAACTGATGTTCATACATAGTCAATCTGGACCTCCTGCCCTGAGCTTTCTATATTTGGTCTTGATTATCATCTACCTAACTCTGGTCTCGAGATTAAGGAAGGACAGTGGAAATTTATAGGTCTACAATTTTTTTCAATAATTTTTTATAAATGCAATATTTATAATGACATATTTCTCACATAGTTTATACAGTCTGTTGCAAAAATATAAACACTTTATCATCACATAAAAGCAATTATTCTTGCATTTTACAAGATTTTCTTTTTTATTTAAACAAGTTTTATATGAAATCTTACAGATGTTAAGGTTAGCAACTTTGATCACATGCGAGACTATCACAACCTAACCAACACAGATCATTTTTCAAATATTAATAGTAGATCGGTATTATTGATAATTAGTAGTCATTGACCATCCTTTCTTATAGGAGGAGTTTAACAACTACTTTTGTCCAAATTACTTCAACCCCTTCCACAACAGTCCCTTCTTCCTATCGGACCAGCTGTGGCATTCGAATAAAAAAATTACATATTATGAGTTTACCAGCCTGCACAAAACATGATTTAAGTGGTTTTTGAGGGTGTTGAATTTAAATACAGTATTTGGTCCGTTTTTTGCTAAATTTGATGGTGGCAGATTACCATTTGATATTTGGCTGTGAATGGTACAGTTTCTTAGAGTTAACATTAGGAAAAAATATGATATATTAAAAAGTTAAGATATCACATTTTCAATTGTTGTCATCCGAGTATCACGATAAATGTGACAATGGTAGGCTGAAGTAACCAAACTCTTTATATGATTTTTGTTTTAATATTTGTTATATTATAGTATTTGATTCATATAACTACAAAGGTTATCTTATATAAGGATTTATATCACCAAGTGGCCAATCTAACACATTAAAAATTTTCTTCCTCTACTGTCCACAATTTAAAGAATTTTTAAAATGGGCAATCAGTGTGATAAACCCTTACATAAGATAACCTTTGTAGTTATATAAATCAAATATGATAATTTAATATAATTCAAGAGTCTAATAATCTTAATCTTTGCTGTCGTTATGTTTTGCCCAAGCAATGCTGGGCTCATCTGCTAGTTAATTAATAAAATACTTTGTATATTTCATTAAATTATTTTTATGCATATTATATGCAAATTTAACTGTGTTTTCCAGTCCTATTGAGGAATTCTAATTGTAGCCACTATATGCCCTATATCAGAGCATATGGTTGTAATCATACATAAAAATACCTCCACTGCTTGTCTACATATGTCATTATTTGAAATAAGATCACTCTCATCATCATGTTTCAGATTATTTGCATCCATCAGCAAAGATGCTCCATAAGCCACATTTAATCCATAATTTTCAATAATCTGATTTTTGATCACTGATGCAAATAAGAAACTTCCATTCTCTTCTCATTGAATCTAAATTCCTAAATAGTATGTGATGTCACTGAGATCTTTGATTTCAAAGCTCTGATTAAGCCATTCTCTGATATTTGTGACAGCTCTCTCATCAAATTGAATAATTATTAAATTATCAATATATGTTCCACTGTCCTTTCTTGAACTTAAAATATAAACATGGATTGGCTAGATTTTATTTAGATCATTGCTTTAATAAAAATTCATTTATTTTAGTGTTCAAATATCAGGCTGATTGTTTAAGTTCATATAGTAATTAAGATAACCTGCAGACAAGATGTTTCTTTCCAGATTTCATGTATCCTTCACGTTGTGACATATACATAGGTGATTCAAAAAGTAAGGTAACAAGAGTTCTCCTGTACAAATTTTATTTCAAAGGCAGATATAGCAATACAAATTATTATGGCCCTGGTACATAATATTTTTCAGCATAGTCACCATACTTGTCCAAACATTTATTCCAATGATATAACAAGACATTGATGCCAGCAGAAAAGAAATCTGCATCAAGTCCCTTCAGCCTCATCATGATGGCTTGCTGAACTTCCATATCAATTTGAAATCACTTACCACTCATGTGCTTCTTCAATGGTCTAAAGCAGGGATGGTGAACCTTTTTGAGTCTGCGTGCCACATAGTAAGCATATTAAGCATACTTTTCTTTAAAAATGTTTGTGTGCAGAAGTTTTAGACTTTGAGTAACTAGAGAGGTTGAGGCACATGTTTTAAACGTGTAAACATGTACGTGTGACGTTCGGCGCCGCTTTCCCGTAAGCCTAAAAGTTTGACAATGGTGTTTGGATAGTCGGTGGAATCACGCTCGACATTCCAAACACCATCGTCAAACTTTTAGGCTTACGGGAAAGCGGCGCCGAACGTCACACGTACACGTTTACACGTTTAAAACGTGCGCCTCAACCTCTCTACTATATTTAAATTTGGCCGAATGGCCAAGCGGTCAAAGTGGTAGCTATCGCTCTTGTAGACCTGAGATCAAAATCCCAGAAAATTTTCAGGTGGGTATCCATTCTTCACCACCTGGATGTCCCATTGTGGACTTGCTAAATAAAAAAGCCCTCTTAGTACCCACAGGGCAAAAAGAGTTTTAAAAAACTATATTTAAATAAATAAAATAATATGCTGTAATTAGAGTAAATGTAAAGAACCTGATTGAAAAAGATGATAAACCGATATCGTATAATACATTACGTGCCGGATGATTTCTTCAACGTGCCACATTGGGCATGCATGCCATAGGTTTGCCTCCGGTCNACCAGGGCTTCTTAAACTATGGGTCGCGACCCCATTTGGGGTCGCTTAGCAAAATCTTGGGGTCGCGAGATTTCAGTGCAAAATATTGAAAATAATTTGAGAGTTTGAAAATGGCATGCTTTGTGTCTTAGGTTTCGTGAGTTGCGCTTTGTGTCACTTCTGGTGCAGCGAGACAACGATTCAGCAACACTGATTGTAGTGTGAACTAGTGTAGTGTTGTCGCTTTTCAGTGTATTCAGTTGTCTCTGTTCCATTGTAACACAAGAGTGAACTGTGGTAGTACACCATTATTGTTTTTGTAAATTTGTATATATCTTTATTTTATATATATATATATATATATTTTGGGGGGGGAGGGGGGTCGCGAAAAAAATCACAATCATAAATGGGGTCGTGAATAAAA